TAAAGTTCACTTCCAGTCCAGAAGAACACTCATCTTCAAAGCTACAGACATTCACTCTTTAACGTCCTCAGAGACGTCGCATGATTTTACACACTGACCCAAAGTTAAGAGGCTGAGGAGAAGAGAGTCAGGCAGGTGATGTACAGGTGATGCTGCTGGTCAGGGCTGGAAGGGAAACGGACACGGTGAGGTTCTTCAGGTTGGAATGAACTGGTTCTGTTTGTAGATAATCCAGAGAGAAGGAGACATGAGGTTCCACAGGAGCTGAGATGAACATGGTTGGAGAGAGGAGCAGCTTGTTGGTGTTTGGTAGAAACTGATTCAGGTTGATGTTTGGACGGTTGAAGGGACAAGATGATGACGAGGTGAAGTCACAAGGAACGAGGAGGTCTTGGAAGACTTGGAGGAACAGGTCGCTGGAGAAGATAATCAAAGGTAAGTAGGAACAAATCCATAAGGTATCATGATGTTCCAGGAGCTCTTCAAGTCAGAAGAGCACTCTTCCAGATCAGGTGCAGGTGTGGAACGGTGGCTGATTAGGATGAGCAGCAGCTGTGGAGGAAACCTGGGGATCCCACACGACATCGGTGGACCTGGTGTTTACCTGAACCATGGAGGCTGTTAAATTTCACTGACACGTTTGATTTTTCACAAACAAACCGTTTGTTCTGCACGTGTCTTGTTCATGTATTACCATCAACTAAACTAAAAACAGCTCTCATTTTGTGGCCCTAGTTTATAATTTTATTCTGGTAAATTTGTCTCGTGGGGACATTTTGTTTCAAACAAACCTTCCGAGTTTTGTCCTGAGATGTCTGCAGAAGCACCGGAGCTGAACAAGCTCAGAACGGCTTCTCTCTGCCAAACACAGATCCAGTCCAACACGTCGGACACGTGAACGTTTCCAGCACTTAAATGTTGGCCGAGTACAAAGACAAGAGACTGTGTGTGAGATAACAGACTTCTCTTAACGTCTTCAGAACCTGGAGGTTCTGACCTTGTGGACTTTAAACAGAAACTCACTTTCTCTGAGCCTGAATCACGACTAACGTTGTTTAAAGCCGTGGAGGCAGACTGGTCGATATTCTGCAGCGCGTGTATATTCATAAACATGACCGTAACTTGGTTTGGACCGACGGACGGCTCAGACAGCAGAGACAAACCAGAACCTGAGGACAGGGTTCACTTGACGAACCGCAGCCTAACTGCACATTGGTCTTCATAAAGATGAGTCCTCCAGGCTCGTCCTCTGTCCTCCAGGCTCGTCTTCTGTCCTTCAGGCTCGTCCTCTGTCCTCCAGGCTCGCCCTCTGTCCTTCAGGCTC